CTTTGCTCAGGCTGGTCCTCGTCCTCATGCCTGTAAAACCTTTCCCCAGCCCTTAAGGAACCCAGCTCCTCCTCTAATGCTCAGCTCAAAGGTGAACTCTTCTGTAAACCTTCCTTTTTCTGCCTGTGACAATGAATCAGTCCTGTCTCAGAATTCTAAAGGCAATTGGTCCAAACTTCCAATAAGTCTGAACCTCCCAGACAGCTGACTGTGTGTGTGTGTGTGTGTGTGTGTGTGTGTGTGTGTGTGTGTGTCCCCTGATTAGAATGACAGTTTCTGAGGGCAGGAATCAGGTCCCGCTTATCTTGCCCCCTTCCCATACCACATCCTCCAGCACTTAGAACAGAACTTGTCTCTGCTCCATCCTACATAAATGCCTGGAGAACGAAGGGAGAAATGAATGGTGAACGTTACCATCACCAGCACTACTGCCTGCCCTCACTGGTTTCCATCCCTTTTGAGGAACGGAGAGAAGTGTACGAGATTAGGCAGGTGCCTTCTATAGTTTCAAGTACATCGCAATTTCCACAAAACAGGTATTAAACTATAGAAAGGAGCTGTGAGGCAGAAGAAAGAAGATAGTAATGAATAAAAAACAATACATTTTACTTCTTACCCAGCAACTTACTTCTTTGCAGTAAGAATGGGTTCTTGATTGACAGAATGAGATTTGTTCAGTTTTTTAGCACCCCAGTTGCAATGTGGAGAGCACGGGGCAGGAGATGCTGTGGGTCCGGACTAATAGAAAGACTCTCCTAGAGATTGACAGAATGAGATTTGTTCAGTTTTTTAGCACCCACTGTGCAATGTGGAGAGCACGAGGCAGGAGATGCTGTGGACCCTTGAGTCCGCAGGCCGATGCTCTATCCACTGAGCCAAAGCACTCAGTGCTAGTCTGGACTAATAGGTAGGTGGTGCTGGAGATGGAGCGGAGGGAACAAACTAAAGAGACACTAAGGAAGTGCAGTTGTTAAGATGACACATTGAAGGGTCAAAGAAATGGAAGATTCAATGGTTTGTTCATTGATTTTTTTCAACAAATACTTAATGAATATGACTATATGCCAGCACTATGAGAGGTGCAGGGAATTCAGTGATGAGAAACATTCAATACACTGAGTTTATGATACCATAGTTGGCTGTCTGGTGGTGCATAGTGGTGGAAACAAATTTGGAAAGCATTACTACTCATCCCTTACAGAATTCAGCAGTGAACAAACAGTACCTGGAGAGACAGACATACTGATGTGATACCAGAAAGAAGATACCTGCTGTGTTCCAAAAAAATACTGTTTTAAAATTTTATTTTAGTTACAAAAGTAATGTGCTTGTTAAAGAAAAATTAGGAGATACACGCAGTTTCAAAGAACGGAAAAATAATTTGCTATCTCATCATATAAATATTAATCACCTTTATGCCTCTTTAGACTTTTTCAATGCACAATGCCTAGGAAATGCATACAATGCAAATGGACCAATACCCTACATATAATTTTATTGTCTGATTTTTATAATTTTAAACCTATTGTGAACATTTGTCCTCTCCAGAAAATAAAAGACCCCAAAAGTAATGTGCTTGTTAAAGAAAAATTAGGAGATACATGCAGTTTCAAAGAACGGAAAAATAATTGGCTATCTCATCATATAGATATTAATCACCTGTAACATGTATCATTAATAGATATTAATGGATATTAATCATATAGATATTAATCACCTGTAACATTAATCGAGGAAGGGAGAGGAATAGAGAGCTAGAAACATCGATGAGAGAAAAACATTTATCAGCTGCCTCCTGCACACCCCCTATTGGGGATGTGCCCACAACCAAGGTACATGCCCTTGACCGGAATTGAACCTGGGACCCTTCAGTCTGCAGGCCGACGCTCTATCCACTGAGCCAAACCAGTTAGGGCGACCCTATCATTTTTAATGGTGGCATAGTATTTACTATATTGATTCAATTCATTTAATTAATCCCCTATTTTCAATATTTCAGAAATAACTGGTGATCAGGTGGAAATTTGTTTCACTAGTTTAAAAAATGTCTCTTAAAAATAATGTTTCTTGGGGCACACACTAATTCAGAACTACACATGAGGGATTTTGGGAAATATAGTTTTGCTAAGTTGACACAATACAAATACAAATCCACCACAATCTATCCCTTGTCAACTTGGTATCCATACATAACTTTTTAACCATACTTAACATAATTTTAAAATAAGGTCAGTAGCAACAGCTTACTTCCACTTAACACAATGCAACTATTCCTCATATAACTGTAACATGCCCTCCCCAAAGAGAAAACACAGTCCTATTATCTACTTTTGGGTAATAATCATTCCTATTCTAGATAAGTCACATTACTTTGATACCCAGTAACTTTGCTCACATGATCATCGTTGTTATTATAACTACATTCTTCCACTACACATTCGCTATTCCCTTTGCCATCAGCAAAAATCTCAGCTGGTTGTGGTTCCTTCCCTGCTGGAGTGACCTAAGCCTGAATTCCTGAAAGGTTTGAGCCATTTACAGTCCTGCCCCTTTTGGGCCATTGTAGTTGTCTATGGACTTTTATCACAGAATGTGGGAGTACTAAGAGACACCTCAAAGAATCCTTCTATATTCTAGATGTACTCCTCTTTACTGCCATTTTGTAGTGGCAATCTAATTTTCCCTTGATCCTTAGCATCAATCCCCCTAGTCCAGTGGTCGGCAAACCGCGGCTCGTGAGCCACATGCGGCTCTTTGGCCCCTGGAGTGTGGCTCTTCCACAAAATACCACGTGCGGGTGCGCACGTACAGTGTGATTGAAACTTTGTGGCCCATGCGCAGAAGTTGGTTTTTGGCCTGGGCGAGTCTGTTTTGAAGAAGTGGTGTTAGAAGAAGTGGGGGGTGTCGGTCAGTCAGGCGATGGGAGACGCGGTGCAGGTGGGCCATGGGATACGCAGCGCAGGGGAGGTACATTGTTTTGAGGTACGTTCGCTGAGGTCGACCCCTTCCAACTCTCCCATCCACACTCATCTATCTGAAACAAGTATATAAGACAAGTGTGGATGGGAGAGTTGGAAGGGGTCGACCTCAGCGAACGTACCTCAAAACAATGTACCTCCCCTGCGCTGCGTATCCCATGGCCCACCTGCCATGCGGGTCTTTGGCCCCTTGAGTGTGGCTCTTCCTGAGCCTTAGGAGTACCCTAATTAAGTTAATAACAATGTACCTACCTATATAGTTTAAGTTTTAAAAATTTGGCTCTCAAAAGAAATTTCAATCGTTGTACTGTTGATATTTGGCTCTGTTGACTAATGAGTTTGCCGACCACTGCCCTAGTCAATATGGTAACCCTTACTTGCTTTTTGATTCACTGGCATAGGAACAGTGAAGTGTCGAGGGGACAGCCTCATCTCTCAGTTTAATGGAATGAGTGATGTGCCCCTCAGTTGAAATAGTCCTCCCTTAAGGCTAAAAATTCTAGACCAGTAAAATCCAAAGTTGTAGGGAAAAAATTTCATTAGTAGATCAATAGAAGTAATAATGAGAAGCACCATTCCCATTTTCTACATTTGATTCCTGGACTTGGGAATCCTGGTTCCAAGAGAAATAGCATCATTTATTGATCATTGATTTTTTTAAAAAATATTTTTTATTGATTTCAGTGAGGGAGACAGAGGGAGAGATAGAAACATCAATGATGAGAGAGAATCATCAGTAGGGCTGTCTCCTGTATGCCCCCTACTGGAGATTGAGCCTGCAACCTGGGCATGTGCCCTGACCTGGAATCAAACCTTGACCTCCTGGTTCTTAGGTTAACGTTCAACCACGGAGCCACATCGGCCAGGCTGTATTGCAAAGTTTTATAAATATTTTCATTATTATGGTATTTAAACAATTTCTCAATAATTGAGCCATTAATTAAACGTGCAGAATCAATTCATGTCATCCTGTGAAAAACCAGGGGCTCAGTAACAAACCAACAAACAAAAAACATGAAAACATTGGCTGGATAAAATTGTCAGCTTGTTCTGGATTTATATAATCAGTCACTTTTACCTCTTACTCCAAAAAGAAATTTACACATACAGAATCTTAAGAGAGTGTATAAAAAAGAAAAAGGAAACAAAACAAAAAACTGTTTAGGCCATCTAGTCCATCCTCAAAGACTAAGTCTTCATCATATATGTTCATCACTTGTATTGCAAATGTAGCCCAGGCAAGATACTGTGGCTGCCACTAGCGGTGGTAGCAATGGAATGGAGAAGTGGATGAATTAAGGATAATTTTGGTAGTAAAGACAAAAATACCTGCTGATATTTTGGGTGTGGCGAGCAACTAGGCTGATCTCAAGGTTTTCTGTCTGAAAGATTTTAGCATTTACGAGATAGGGATGGCAAAGTAGGGGGGACGACACGGGTTACTTAAAAGAGTATTTTGGTCGCGTCAAGGTATCAGTCTTAGGCGTCCCTGTGGAGATGTCCTCTTGACATTTGTGATAGATTTGGATTGGATACTTTAAAAATTTTGAAACAATATTATTTTAGTAATTATTAATAGCAATTATTATTATTACTATACCACTAATACAGCCACCTAGGGCTTTCTCACGCTCTTTAAAAAAAAAAAGCTCAAAAATGGCAGAGCTTTCCAAGCGTTCCCATTCATCCTCCAGCTCTGGGAACCTGGAACGCCCTGGTCCAATCAGCTCCCGAATCCTCAGTGACGTCAGCAAGTGGGCGGGTCAGATGGATTGGGTTCCTCCGCTTCTCTGGCTGGGCCACGTCAGAAGCCGTGCAGGTCCTTGAAGGGACCTAAGTTACATGTTAATTCATTGGACATAATTGAGAATATGACTCACACTTTTGTTTAAAAATAGTCAACTCCACATAGGTTTACACACCTTGATTTCTGTTTTTTTTTTTAATTTCTTATTTTCTTCTGTGCATATATACACTGCCTGCGAGCGTTGCGGACCTGCCGTTTCCTCCTCCGCGCACGCGCCGGGGAGGGGAAGGACCGGCCCGTTTCCGGGTGGCGTGTGGGGCTGGAGAGTAGAGCGGTTCTCGCCACCGCCAGCATGGAGAGTTTGTACCGAGTCCCGTTCTTGGTGCTGGAGTGCCCCAACCTGAAGCTGAAGAAGCCGCCCTGGGTGCACATGCCCTCGGCCATGACGGTGTACGCTCTGGTGGTGGTGTCTTACTTCCTCATCACCGGAGGTAACTCGGGCTGGCCGGGGCTGGCGGCGTCGAGGCGCGGCGCACCTCCCCGCCCCGGAGGCGCCCATTCCGCCGACCCTCAGCTCGGCGCCAGCTTCGCTTCGCTCTGGATCTTTTCGGAGGGTGGAGGGAAGTTCTGGGGTTCCAGGTATTCACAGCCCAAAGGTTTCTTTGCCCTCAGGCCCTGCCCTTTATCTTGGCTGCACTGGTGTTCTCACGCCCATTGCTTTTCTCCTCCTCCCAGCCTCTCAGCCTGGGGATCCATCCAAATCGAAGATGTTTTTCAAGGCCAGGTTGTTGCTCTTTACTGATGGCCCTAGGTTGTCTGACCGAGTCTAGACTAGGAAAGTCTAGTCTGGCCCATTGTACTCCCGTTGTTGAGGTCAAGAGAGAGTGGGACTTCTAGTCTTTCTTTGTCTTCGGTCCCTGGAACCTTGGAAGAGACGTGAGAATTCTTAAGTTTGTTGTTAGCTCAGATCTAAGGGTTCCGTGTGTCTTTTTTGGTCCAGTTCAAGAATGAATGTGGATGCAATTTTCTAAAGCCACGGGTTTGGAAATATTTGAGATTGGAGATAGATTTGTCCTTAATAGAGCAGAAGTTGGGAATATAAAGAATAAGGAAGATGGTATTACTATTAAAAACGTATGAATTGTTATATCATGTTCTTTTCAAATATAGAAAGTTGCAAAAGGGGCGTTGCTTTGCGTAGTGGTGAGTTGGCAGTCCCGCTGCAGTCTTTCCGGGGCCACCACCCACCCTTTCAAGCCACCGGTCCAGGATTTGCTGGACTGCGCCGCTGTTAGATTTTGGGAAGTGGGGTACTTAATTTGGAAATGATAAAACTCAAGTCCTACAGGTTAGGGACGATAAAAGTGATTCTCTTTTGAAGCGAATGGTCTGAGACATCTTCATTTTCATAGATATTTGTAAGAATATGTAGTTGTACGGAAGAGGGAAGAATCTGCAACTATGAGAGCTTAGCTGAATGTATCTTTGAATTACAGCCTGCCCTCCCCCTAGAGTACTGACAGTTTACTTATCCTAGCATTGTATTAGCAATAACATTTCTCAGCACTTTAATAGGTGCTGTGTATTGAAATGAAACTTATATGCATGTGGCTTTTTTTTTTTTTTTAAATAAGTGATAGAGTCTTCCTGGGCTTTTATTTGCTACTCTTTTACCTGTAACCCTTACCTCCCTTGGAGCCAGAGCCTGTGCCAGACGCCTCACAGTTTTCATTCTGGGTACCTTTGCCATGTTGGTTGTTGCAATGGGGAGATTTTCTGCCCCCACCCCTGGGGGAAAGGTCAATGAGGTGTCTCATACTAGGAGTCGGTGTTGCCACTGGACAGGAGCCTCTTCAAACAACCGAGTGTACCTTTATAAAGAAACCATATTTATTGCATTGGAATATTCAGCAAATGATGTATCGAGTCCCTATTAAATTTCAGGCACCAGCTACTGGGGACAACAGTGAATGTAAAACAAACAAGGACCCTGCCCTCCTGAAGCTTATAATGCCATGGTTGAGATACATTAAATATCACATGCACTTTTTTTTACATTATTTCTTTCATTGCAAAAATGCCACAGATGCATTGAAGGAAAAGAACAAGAGATTATGGAAAAATAGTGGGAGTTGGGAATATTTACTTTGGAGTGTGGTTCCTGAGGAAAATGGCTTGTTAGCCAAAATCTGATGAATTGGAGGAAAGGGTGTGTATGCTAAGCAGAGAGAAGAATATGGACAGATATGGGGCTGAGGGACCAATTAGGTGGGTCTTGTAGTTGACCTAGACCAGACTAGTTGGTGGGCAGTGGAGATGGAGGAAAATATAATGAAAGATATTTTGGAAATAGATTCAGTAGGTCTTGATGGAGTAATTGGATGTAGGGGGAGAATGAAGTGTGAAGGAATCTTATTGGTGTCTGGTTTGAGTATCTTGAGTAGATGAAAGTAACATTTTTTGAGATCAAACAAATGGAAGTCTTTTTTGGAGGAAAATGATGAACCAGAGCTCACTTTGGGATATACACTAATTGGGCATAACCAACTATAATTAGTTGGATGTGTGCATTTACAGGTATGAGTAGCACTGAGAAAAGCGGTCTGTGTTGAAGTTGGGCAATAAGAAATGTTTTCTGAACTCCTCCCAAGTTCCCATTCTTGGGGAACGTACATCTAATTCCAACGGTGCTAACATTATTTGACATGTGTTGGCACATTGAGAGTCATTCGAACATGGAATTGAAAGCCCTGGCAAGGGATGAGTTCATTTCCGGAGACAACGTAGAAAAAGTGGACAGTGGTTCAAGCCCTAAGGAACTTCCATCACTTAGTGGTTTTATAGAAGAGGAGGCTTAGCTAGAGAGGTAGCAAGAAATCATGGGCAAGAGGGTTACAATAGTCATGAGAAGCCATTTTTCCTTCCAAGAAAATGGATTTAGAAAATGGGATCGAATGCTCCTGGGAAACCTCCTAAGACGAGAACTGAAAAGTGGCCGTTGAATTAAGTAACATGGAGGTCATAGCAACCTTAGCAAGAGTGATAGCAGTGGTGACAGAAGCCAGATTGGAGTGAAGAATGAAAGGTGGCCCAGCTGGTTTGGCTCAGTGGATAGAGCGGTGGCCTGCGGACTGAAGGATCAAGGGCACATGACTGGGCTGTGGGTTCGATCCCCAGTGGGGGCATGCAGGAGACAGCCGACCAATGGTTCTCTCTCATCATTGATATTTCTATCTCCCTCTCCCTCTCTCTGAAATCAATAAAAGTATATTTAAAAAAAATGAAGGGTGAGGAAGGGGAGACGGCAAAATTGCCCCCCCCCCCCTTTTTTTTTCAGAAGAAAGCCTGTCTCCCTTTCAAAAAGGAAATACATAAATGCGATGTTAGCTAGGATGATCTGGAGTCAAGGGAAGGTTGATGTAGGGAAAGACAGGTTGAAAATACAGGAGAGAGAAGAAATATCCAAAGGAACCAAGTCTCTGAGAAGGCAAGAGGGATGGACTTCTGCTAATTGGAGAAGGGATTCTTCCTTGATCTGAGCTAGAGGGAAAGAGGTGAGGATAGATGAGGGCACCAGTTTGTAGTTGGGGGAGGAGGGATTAGGGAATTCCACTATGATTGTTTCGTTAGTGGGAAGGGAGACACAATCTATGCTTAAGAAAAGCTGGGTGTGAGGATGCTGGAGAATAATGGAGAAAAACATGTTGACAGTGGGAGATTCAGAAAACTTAAAATGTTGATAGATATTGAAATTAATGGTCATGAGTCTTTAATGCTAATGGTGTGATTAAAAATGTTTCCTTGTTTTATATTTATGCAAGAAAATTTCTCAAGTAGCTCTCAATTTATAGAAACAAATCCAAGTTTATGTGGAACATATTCTTGAACTAAAATATAATCTTTAATGTTAAATCTCTTTTATTGTGGAGTCATACTTGAGTATTAGAAACAGTTACTGAATGAATTTCTTTTATGAAATAACTCCTAAAGATAATATTGTTTTACAAGTCATTCTGAAATATTGAGTTGAATTTCTGAATGGTTTTATCTGAAGTTTGGGAGATTAGCTGGGCCTCATTTGATTATAATAGCATATATCAAGACAGCCCTATGTACAGTCCTATATAAATTAACCTTTAGAGACAGTTGAGAATCCTATTTTTAAAATGAGGAATTCTCTAATCTATACTATTGCCTTTCGTATAGGAATAATTTATGATGTTATTGTTGAACCTCCAAGTGTTGGCTCTATGACTGATGAACACGGGCATCAAAGACCAGTAGCCTTCTTGGCATACAGGTAAGAGCTACCTTTCTGAATGATTTGGTGGTGGGAAAGCTGGCTGCTGGGCAATGCCTGCTTATCCTATCTAATAATAGACAAACATGGTAATTGACCGCCTTCGCTATGCCTCCCATTGGCTAATCAGCACGATATGCAAATTAACCGCCAACAAAGATGGCGGCTAATTTGCATACTGCAGGCAGGGCGGGAGAGCGCTATCCCGCCTACCCTGCC